AAAGATTTCTTTTTTAGCATTCAGTTTCTACTATGATGAGTCTGAAAAAGAAAAGAAGTTCCAAAAGAAGTAGTAATTTGTAATCTGACCTGTAGACACAGCAAGCAAATCAATTAGCTAGAGAGAATTCACACCCTTTTATAGGGGCAGCTGTTCTTCAGCTCTGATCATTTAGGAGTGTAGTAGACTGAGTTGAGAAAGATCCTCCAAGTTTTCAAGAGAAGGTAGAAACAGAGATTTTTTTTTTTAATGAGGAGGACCACTTTCCCTATTGTATTTTTAAAAGCCAACTCCCATTTCAAGTACACATTTTCAATTAGATTTGTGAATGGCTTAGCCTATCCCAGCACCCATAAGCCACAGGCTTTGTTCATGAGAAACTATGCTGTTGGCAGCAACTATTATAAATGTTTTTGAACTCATGAATCTGAGAGATTACAAAGGCTTCAATAGGAATCCCTATGGAGTCTAGGATGAGGATGTTTTAAAATTACTATCAATAAAATAACGAAAAGAATGAGTAATGTTTAGAACAACCTGTACTTCTTAAGCGAGGCACTGTTTTAAGTTCTTTACAAACATTATATCTAATCCTCATTAAGTCATATTTTACAAATGAGAAAACTTAGGCACAGATCATGAAATGGCTAGAGCTTGAATTAAAGTATGTTTGACTCTCTGGAGCCCCAGGTTTTACTACTCTGAAGCTCTGAATTGAAATCACATTTAGGGAAATGACATTTGCAGACAAGGTACCTTCCAATCACCTCTGGGGAGGAGGCTCAACAGAGCATTCTCCCCAAACACCGAATCCCAGCCTTAATCAGACCCTCCTTGCTAAGCTAATAACCCAAAAGCCAACAATGCTCAGAGTAACACTGGTCAACACCCCAAAATCAAATGATCAAAATTTATACTTGCCTGTCAAATGGAACATCCACAAGAATCCTGGAATTGGTTAAGGAGAGAAGACAATTCTTTTGCAACTTTAAGGGAATAAAGAAAATTAATTTTGAGTAAATGTGTACTCAATTCTAAGTAAGGGTTCTATGCATTTGGAAGGTTCTACCAATGAGCCTTTCTGTGCACCTGGCCCTCTCCAAGTTCTTCATTTAATCTTACCAATAAGCTTTATCACATGCACCTTTGCCTAAAGAACAATCCTCCCCCCCCCTTTTTGGGGGGCGGGGGGGGGTCTGTAAAGTGGCTGCATGTATGTCAGTCCCAATCAATTACCTGAAGCCTAGCACATCTACTAATCGATAAATGTCTACACCATATCCAATAACTACTAGTAACTATGCTAGAACTTCTACTTTCTACATAAGACTGGTAGGGGTTGAACTGGGCCTTTACAGATAGGAAAAGAAGAAGGCCTCCTGGGAAAGCTGTAGAAATAGAGAAATGTAACATGTCTTTGCAGAAATTAAGACTGAATTGAGGCCGGGCAGCGCAACGGCGGTGGCGGCACCTCAGAGCTGGTGGTCAGCTGTCCTGCCGCCACCGCGTCTTCCCGGTCTCCTTCCCCCGCTGCGCAGGGCTTCATAGGATCACATTAACAAAAGCATGGAGTTTTATGAGTCAACGTATTTTATTGTTCTTATTCCTTCATAGTTATTACAGTAATTTTCCTCTTCTTCTGGCTTTTCATGAAAGAAACATTATATGATGAAGTTCTTCCAAAACAGAAGAGAGAACAAAAGCTATTCCTACCAAAACAGAGAAAAAGAAGGCAGAAAAAAAGAATAAAAAGAAAGAAATCCAGAATGGGAACCTTCATGAATCCGGTTCTGAGAGTGTACCCTGGGACTTTAAATTATCTGATGCCTTGGCTGTAGAAGATGAGGAACTTGTACCTGTTCCACTGAATGTGGTTGAAACTTCTAGTGGTGTTAGAGAAAGCAAAAGGAGGAAAAGAAACACAAGCCTGTACTAGAAGAGCAGGTCAGCAAAGAAAGGGATGTATCGAAGATTCCAAGCGAAAAAGTAGAACCTGTCCCAATTACTAAATGACTCCCCCACCACACACACCCCAGCCCCGTGAAGCAGCTGCCTCAAAGGAAGAAACCAGGACAGAAGTCTAAAAATGGAAGCGGTATTATAATCTACTTAACTTTATTGGATGATAGTATTTGCTTTTAATAACTTTAGAGCTTGAAATTCATACCTAATAAAGTATTAGATGTGCATACAAAATGTTAAATAAAAAAGACTGAATTGAGAAGGACCTTCCAACTTTTTAAGAGAAAGTAGAAATGGAAAAAGATTTTAATGAAGAAAGACCGCCTTTTTTGTTCCATTTTAAGTACACATTTCATCAGTTTGACAAATTTATAAAGCTGTGTAACCACTACCCCCATACCACCATCATAATCAAGGAAAAAAACTATTATCACCACAGAGAGTTCCCCTTTGCCCCTTCTTATCAATCTTGACCTTGCAAACCCCAGCCCTGGAAAATTACACTGACATCACACTTTAGTCTGTTCTAAGTTCTCACATAAATGAAATAATATAGTATCTACTCTTTTGTGTCTGGCTTTTTGCTCAGCATATAATATTTTTGAGATTCATGCATGTACTTCAACCAGTATTCATTCCTTTTTACTGCCAATATGCGTATTTCCTCATATGAATATATCATAATTGTTTATTCACCTGCTATTGGACATTTGGGAAGTTTTCAGTTTTGGGAGATTATGAATAAAGATATTATGAACAGTTGTGTGTAAGTGTTTATATGGACATATACTTTCCTTTCTCTAAGAGTAGGATGACTGGGTAGTATAAAAGGTGTATATCTTAACTTTTAAAGACTGTGGAACTGGTAGTTGTATCATTTTACATTCTTAACATCAATATATGAGAACTTCATATATTCCACATCCTTGTCAACACTTTGTATTGTCAGTCTTTTAATTTCAACCAATCTAGGGGTTGTACAATAACAACTCATTGTAGTTTTCATCTGCATTTCTACTGACTAAAGATACTAAGCATCTTTTCATGTGCTCATTTGCCACCTGCCTATCTTCTTTGGTGAAATGTCTTTTCAAATCTTTTGCCTTTTCTAAAAATTGGTTTATTGCCCTGACCGGTTTGGGTCAGTGGATAGAGCATTGGTCTGCGGACTCAAGGGTCCCAGGTTCGATTCCGGTCAAGGGCATGTACCTTGGTTGCGGGCACATCCCCAGTTGGGGGAATACAAGAGGCAGCTGATCGATGTTTCTAACTCTCTATCCCTCTCCCTTCCTCTCTGTAAAAAATCAATAAAATATATTTTTTTTAAATAAAAATTAGTTTAGTTTGTGTTACTGAATTAAGAGTTCTTTATATCCAGCCCTAGCCGGTTTGGCTCAGGGGGTAGAACGTCGGCCTGCATACTGAAGGGTCCCAGGTTCCATTCCGGTCAAGGGCACATGCCCAAGTTGCAGGCTCAATTCCCAGTGGGGGCCGTGTAGGAGGCAGCCGATCAATTATTCTCTCTCATCATTGACATTTCTGTCTCTCTCCCCCTCTCTGAAATTAATAAAAAAAATATATATTTTAAAAAGAGTTCTTTATATTCTGGATAAAAGACCTTAGAAATATATATAGGGTGGGGCAAAAGTAGGTTTAGTTGTTCACATGGAAAATGATACAATTAATAAATAATAATACAAGACTAAACTCTGTGCCAGAGATAAACCCAACAAGTTACATACTTATATGCATAGCCCATGAACAAGGACAATAGGGTAGTGAGGACCTGGAGGGGTGGGTAAGGGCTGGGAGGAGGTGAGCAAAGGGGAGAATGGGAAACACCTGTAATACTATCAACAATAAGAAATATATTTTTAAAAAAAGACTAAATTCTGCTTCATGTACTCACAACTGTAAACCTACTTTTGCCGCACCCCCTCCCCCCCATATAATGAACATTTTTCCCAGTCCATGGCTTACCTTTTCATTTTTTAATGTTTTTCAGTGTGTGTATGCTTAATTTTTTGGATTCTAATTTATTTTACTTTTATGATGTGTGCTTTTTATATCCTAAGAAAACTTTGACTACTCCAAGGTCACAAATATTTTCTCCTTATGTTTTCTTCTAGAAATTTTATGGTTTTAACACTTATATTTAACATGAATTCCTTATTTATTCTCTCTAATACAGTGGTTCTCAACCTTCTGGCCCTTTAAATACAGTTCCTCATGTTGTGACCCAACCATAAAATTATTTTCATTGCTACTTCATAACTGTAATGTTGCTACTGTTATGAATCGTCATGTAAATATCTGATGTGCAGGATGGTCTTAGGCGACCTCTGTGAAAGGGTCATTCGACCGCCAAAGGGGTTGCGACCCACAGGTTGAGAACCGCTGCTCTACTAGGATGAAAACTCAGAACTAAAAAATACACATTTTTCATATATTTGTCCTGAAGTAAGAAGCAGAGTCAAGTATTCAAGTTAAATTACCTGCTGGTAATGAGGGAAATTTTTCAAAGCCTTGAAAAGTAGACAGGTGACCTCTGACAGCAGACGAACAGGCATTCCCCTGGCCAGGCCCTGGTGTGTTAAGTTGAGGGCACAAGCACTGGCTGTGAACTGCACTGGCAAATCCAATGGATGGTTCCTCATGCCTACAGCCACAAGCTAAAGATAAACGTATTTTTAGTGGCTTATGACAACATTAGCATTCTTTATACAATCTCATTTTTATGCTAGTCAGAAAAATATTTGCTCACTGGGAAAGTAACAGGTTTTCTCTATCCTCCACATTTATTTTTAGAACATGAACAATACCTTCCAGTCCAGTGGTTCTCAACTTTCCTAATGCCGCGACCATTTAATACAGTTCCTCATGTTGTGGTGACCCCCAATTTCATTGTTACAAATTGAACATAAAGCATAGTGATTAATCACAAAAACAATATGTAATTATAAGTGTTTTCCGATGGTCTTAGGCGACCCCTGTGAAAGGGTCGGTCGACCCCCAAAGGGGTCGCGACCCACAGGTTGAGAACCGTTGTTCTAGTCCTAGTCCAAATGCAGTCACTAACTAGCTGTGTGGCTTTAGGCAAGTTATTTCCCTTCTCTGGACCACCATTTCCTCATCTGTGATTTCATAATCACTGAGTTAGCCTCACTCCAGTTTAGGCATTGCGATAAGCACTCCAGGAGACATAAACACTTATACCCTAATCCTTAGCATAAAGCCTTGTGAGAGAAAATATGGAAACAAATAACATTGTGGAAGATGTCAAAACATGACCTCCCCCTGCCGAAAAGCAATATAAAAGAGGTATAAATAAAATGCAGTACTGCCTTGGGTAGTTATGGAAGGAGCAATTATTGCTGGTATGGTATCAAAGGGCTTAATTCCAAAAGCATCTTTAGGCAAAGGTCTCAGATAGAATATGGACAGAAGCAGATGCAGGTAGGGGTGGAATGGAGAAGCAATTCCTGGGGAAGGGAAATGTGACAGGGAAAAACACAAGGTGGAGTAAGAGATGGATTCTACCCACAGAGGAAGAAATCTGAATTCGAAAGAATTTGAAAAGTGGTAAAATGCCAACTAGAAGACAGACTATGGAAGACCTAGAAACCAAATGTAAAATGGAAGTGTTGTACCACACTTAGACCATACCTACTCTAACATTCAGGGACAATGTGATTTGTTTTGTCGATCAAATATGGATAACCAGCCCTGGCCTGGCCGATATCCCACGCACCAAAGGATGGTGGGTACAATCCCGGTTGGGCACATACCCAGCTTGTTGGTTCAATCCCCAGCCAGGGCACGACTGGAAGGCAACCAATCCAAGTTTCTCTCACATTGATGTTTCTCTTGTTCTTTTTTTCTTCCTCTCTCTCTCTCTCTCTCTCTCTCTCTCTCTCTCTCTCTCTCTCCTTTCCTCTAAAATCTTTCTTTTTTTTGAATAGGGAGATTCATCTCCTTAGCAATAGGTCTGCTAATACTCACATGAACCATGATTTTAAGAGACCAGAGCCCCTCACTTTGACAGCTGCATGAACTCATGGAGCCTAAGGATGGACTTACTTTCACTATGGAAAATGACTTTTTCTATATTGCTAAACTGCTCTTAGGATTTCATTGGGAGTTTTGGCCACCTTCAATTATTGTTATTTTGTTCTGTTCTTACTGGAGATATTGTTATTGTTTTCAGAAAACCAGATGTAAGATTTTTAAAGAGTAAATGAATGAAAAATAAAACACAACATTTAGGGAAAAGTGAATTCATGTTTCTAGAGAAATGAGTCTTGTTTTAGGCAAAAGAGTACAATAGTCCTATATGCCTTTCTCAGACTAAGTTCAAAAAACTGAATAATTCAAACTGATTCCGATGCTCAAAATGAGAGCTCATCTGGCAGTTAAACCTATTTTCCTCTCTCTATAAGGGCATTTTGATTCACTATAGAATGAGGCATGTAAGTTACTGTATTCAACGTGTGTAGTGAACAACTTTAATTGAATCAAGTAGGAATCGAGTAAGTAGTAATAGTAAAAACTACACGTGTGGCTCGGTGGGTTAGAGTGCCACCCGTATACCAAAAGGTGGAATTCGATGCTCGTCGAGGCATGTACACGAGGCCACAGATTGATGTTTCTCTCCCTCCCTTCCTCTCTAAAGAAGTCAGCAGATACACAGACAGATGATAGATAGATACACAGAAAGACAAATAACGGCTCTATTTTCCAAACAAACAAACAAAAACTACCTTTCCGGGATGTACTTACTTTTAAAATAGCAGGCATGGTTGCCTGCATTGAAAACGTCTCTGCAAAAAGTCGGAAGAGGGCTTCCTTCAGAAAACATGACCTATCCCTGTACTGGCTCAGTGCTTCCGAAATCTGAGCCACACTGGCTCCTCCAGCGACCTAAGAAACAAAGATGTCACCGAGAGGTTTCACTGTTCATCTTCAAGTACAGGCTTTTAGGGGCCTCAAGCGTTTGAAACATTAAAGCCAAAATGAGGAACGTTCTTCAACAATGCCAACTATTGGCCCAGCCAGGTAGCTCAGTTGGTTAGTATCATCCTGATATGCCATGGTTGTGGGTTCGATTCCCAGTCAGGACATATAAAAGAAACAGCCAGTGAATGCATACAAAAGTGGAACAAATCAATGTTTCACTCTTTCTCTCTAAACTTAACCAATCAATAAAAATATATATCTAAAATTTTAAAGCCGAAACCGGTTTGGCTCAGTGGATAGAGCGTCGGCCTGCGGACTGAAAGGTCCCAGGTTCGATTCCGGTCAAGGGCATGTACCTGGGTTGCGGGCACATCCCCAGTAGGAGATGTGCAGGAGGCAGCTGATCGATGTTTCTCTGTCATCGATGTTTCTAACTCTCTATCTCTCTCCCTTCCTGTCTGTGAAAAATCAATAAAGTATATATTTAAAAAAAAATGCTAACAAAACAAAGCTTGTCTGTATTCTTCAAAAACATCAATGTCAAAAGGACAGTAAGGACTAAGAAACTCTTCCAGATTAAATTACAGAGATACTAGAGGCCCGGTGCATGAAATTAGTGGGGGGTGGTCGGTCTCTCAGCCCAGCCTGCACCCTCTTGCAATTCAGGAGCCCTGGGGAGATGTCCGACTGACAGTTTCGACCCACTCCCCACGGACGTCTTTAGCGCTGCCACAGAGGCAGGAGAGGCTCCCGCCACTACTGCTGCTCTCACCAGCGGTGAGCCCGGCTTCTGGCGCACTGACCACCGGGGGGCAGCTCCTGCATCGAGGTCTGCCCCTGGTGGTCAGTGCGCATCATAGCAACCAGTCGTCCCGCCACTTGGTCGATTTTCATATTACGCTTTTATTATATAGGAGGATATAGGATGACAATTGAGTGGAAAAATGATCCTATACTAAATGGACAAGTATTTTACAGAGGGCTATAATCAACACTAGAAATATAAACAGATTATAATAATAAAAGCATAATATGCAAAACAACCAAACTGCCAAACAGCGGAACGACCTCTGGATGACCTTCCAGACAACCTTCCAGACAAAGCCGGGGCTGTGAGGGCCAAGGCAGCCAGGGCTGCGAAGGCCTACTCTTGCACAAATTTCATGCGTCGGGCCTCTAGTATTAATTTGATAACTACATTGTAGTCATTAAGGAAAATGTCCTTGCTCTTAGGAAATGAAATACAAACTTAAGTATTAAGGGGTAGAAGGGCATGATGTGTAACCTACACGATAAAACAAAGGTGGCAAAATGTTTAAACTAATAATCTGCAAGTTAAAAATTATTATACATACATACATTGTCCAAGGACCTACACATTATTAAGAATCTAAACAAGGGATATATTCTAAAATTTTAAAAAGTTTTCTGATCATCCAGATATGAGATGAAACAAAGGATAAGCCACAGCAAGATCAAACAGAAGACAGCTGTTGTATCATCCTCTCTCTGTGGCTTCCTGGAAACGCCATTACAAAACAATCCTCCTAAGGCAGTGGTTCTCAACCTTCCTAATGCCGCGACCCTTTAATATAGTTCCTCATGTTGTGGTGACCCCCAATTTTATTGTTACAAATTGAACATAATTAAAGCACAATGATTAATCACAAAAACAATATGTAATTATATAGTGTTTTCTGATGGTCTTAGGCGACCCCTGTGAAAGGGTCGTTCGACCCCCAAAGGGGTTGCGACCCACAGGTTGAGAACCGCTATCTAAGGGATTTATGCTACACACTGTAGTGGGCCAATGAGAATTTTCTAGTAAATGAAAATGTTGCATGGCTTTTAATAGTAATGGTAGATGCCCTTCCTGACCCCTTTTTAAAAATATATTTTATTTTATTTTAGAGAGAAACACAGATGAGAGAGAAACATTGATTGGCTGCTTCCTGCATGCCCCCTACTGGGGATCGAGTCCACAATCTGGGCATGTGACCTGACTGGGAATCGAACCATGACCTCCTGGTTCATGGAGCAATGCTCAACCACCAAATCACACCCGCTGGGCTTCTGCCCCATTTTTTAAAAAAGAATGATTAAAATATAGTTAACATACAATATTATATTAAGTTTCAGGTGTATAATATTTATTCAATATTTATATACCTAATGAAGTGATCATGATAAACCACCTGACAGGTACAAAGCTATTAACCTATTATTGACTATACTAAAGGACTGGTGCACAACATTTGTGCACTGGGAGTCAGGGGAGGAGGTTCCTCAGCCCGGCCAGTGCACTTTAGCCATCTGGAAGCTCTTAGGGGATGTCTGATTGTGGCTTAGGCCCACTCCCGCCACCAACGCTGCACTCGCCAGCCATCAGCCTGGCCTGGAGCTGAGTGGTGCTCCCTCTGTGGGAGCACACTGACCACCAGGGGCAGCTCCTGTGTTGAGCATCTTCCCCTGGTCGTCAGTGCGGGTCATAGCAACCGGTCATTCCACCGTTAGGTCGATTTGCATATTACCCTTTTATTATATAGCAGAGGTCCTCAAACTACGGCCCGCGGGCCACATGCAAATACAAAGATTGTATTTGTTCCCTTTTCGTTTTTTTTACTTCAAAATAAGATATGTGCAGTGTGCATAGGAATTTGTTCATAGTTTTTTTTTAAACTATAGTCCGGCCCTCCAACGGTTTGAGGGACAGTGAACTTGCCCCCTGTTTAAAAAGTTTGAGGACCCCTGTTATATAGGATTCTCTATGCTGTACATTACATCCCTATGACTTATTTATTTTATAACTGGAAATCTGTCTCTTATTCACTCATTTTAAAAGAACTAAGTATATGTTTACCATTCTAATTTTGGGTACATGAATTAACATACTTGTTCTGTTTGAAGGTTTTCACTAACATTTAATTTTTTATCCATTTTAATGTAAGCAAATTTTTTATCAACCCAAACAAGAATACTTATATTTTGCATCTAACTTAAAAGACATGCATTTCTAGTAAGTAAAAGATTTTCTGAAACACACCTTTTAGCACTAGCTGATTTGGCTCAGTGGATAGAGTGTCGGCCTATGGACTTAAAAGTCCCGAGTTCGATTCCAGTCAATGGCACGTGCCCCGGTTGCGGGCTTGATCCCCAGTGGGGGGGGGGGGTGCAGGAGACAGCCGATCAGTGATTCTCTCTCATCACTGCATCACTGATGTTTCTCTCTCTCTCTCCCTCTCCCTTCCTCTCTGAAATTAATAAATATATATTTAATGCCCTAGGTGGTTTGGCTCAGTGGATAGAGCGTCAGCCTGTAGACTGAAGGGACCCAGGTTGCAGACTTGATCCCCAGTGGGGGGAGTGCAGGAGGCAGCTGATCAGTGACTCTCTCTCATCATTAATGTTTCAGTCTTTCTCCCTCTCCCTTCCTCTCTGAAATCAATTAACAATATATTAAAATAAAATAAATATGCACATTTTTTAAAAAAGAAACACACCTTTTAAACTTACCATACCTTCTACTCTGCATAAGGCTGAATTATGCTCTTTATAATTCCTTAGTAATGGGAAGAGATTATGGTCTCTACTCTCTATCCCCTAATATCCAACACTGTATATAATGCATAATTTAACATTTTGAAAATAAACTACATTTACATGTATACCAGATAAGTTTACTGAAACAAAACTTATTTCCCATTTCCTGCTTTGGTGGTTAGTATCTTAACTACATGCATTATCTCTCTATAGAATACTTAAGTATTTATCCCTTATTATTGCATATCCCATGAGTTTATGCACTAAAATCTATTTTTACAACTGGTCTTTTGATCACTGTGATATTAAATACTAAACAGGCCTACCTATACATTCCTGATAAACAATTCTCTACTGTACATATTTAATCTAAGATTTCAAATTATCTCTCTGTTGCAAGCCTAATGATGTAACTGATGACTTCCACCTTCATTAGAGATGCCAGAAAATTAAAAGGACTTTAAAATACAATTGCTGTTTTCCAGTTAAAGGAAAATATAAAAACAACCAATGACTGCAAATCACTTTACTCTCTCGCCCTAGACGAATTATGAAAGGTATAACCATAAAGGAAGGATTCTTTTTAAGGCGTGGTTCTGAACCTTAGCTGCACATTAGAATTACTGGCAGCTTTTTAAAATCTTGATGCCTAGGCCAACTCCCAAACATATTACATCTCTAGGGGACAGAACAAAAGTATCAGTATATTTTAAAGCTCCCAAAGTTATTAAAATGTACAATGGAGGAAGAGAATCACTTTTAAAAAATATTCTAGAACTTAAATATTTAAATATATGCTGCTTTAAAACTAGCACCGCCCTAACCAGTTTGGCTCAGTGGATAGAGTGTCAGCCTTCAGACTGAAGGGCCCCGGGTTCAATTCTGGCCAAGGGCACATGCCTGGGCTGTGGGCTCGATCCCCAGTGGAAGTAGTGCAGGAGGCAGCTGATCGAATGCTTCTCTCTCATCGATGTTTCTGGCTCTCTATCCCTTTCCCTTCCTCTCTGTAAAAATCAATAAAAATATATTTTAAAAAAATAAAAATAGCACCACGAGGCCCTGACCAGGTAGCTCAGTTGGTTAGAGAATCGTCCAGATATTGTCCAGATATGCCAAGGTTTGAGGTTTCAGGTTGGGTCCCAGTGTGGGTGCTTACGGGAGGCAACTGATTGATGTTTCTCTCACATCGATATTTCTCTCTCTTCTCTCTTTCTCTCTCTCTCTCATCAATAAAACTAAAACATGTCCTAGGGTAAGGATTTTAAAAAATTACCTTTATAAAAAAGAAGAATTCACCAATGATTGTATAAATAAGTGGAACAATATTTTTTAAATAGCACCATGAGAGGGTATAAACTTATTCCAACAACATTCAACATTTTTAAGACTCTTTTAAAATTGCTTCGTGTCATAACTTAACCAAAAATGGTGTTAACCGCCGAAACCGGTTTGGCTCAGTGGATAGAGCGTCGGCCTGCAGACTGAAAGGTCCCAGGTTCGATTCCGGTCAAGGGTATGTACCTGGGTTGAGCA